GGGGGTATAAAGTTTCAGCTATGCAAGATGATTAAATCCTAGAGATCTGCTATACAACACTCTGCCTATAGTCAACAACACACTTCAAGTTTGTTAAGGGGGGTAGATCTCATGTGAAGTGTTCTGACCACAGCAGAAGTGTGTTTGAAAACCAGAGTTGCTCTGTCCACTGCACTCCTGAACCACCCCGGGGGCAGATGGAGAACCGAGGTGCATTCAACCTTGAAGGGTTGAGTGTGTCCTGACCCAGGGCTCCAGGACAGGCCTGTGACTTGGAATGTGGCTGGACGTGTGACTATGCAGAGGGCGCTGAACCTTGTGCCAGTGGCGGAAGCCAGGAGGGAGGACCCAGTCCAGCACGGACTCAACTAGGACTTGCCCACGTTGGCTGCTTTCCTGCCTCCAAATCTTTTTTTTTTTTTTTGGAGGAAAGGACTTGCCTGTTTGGCTGGTCATCCTGGGTAGAGACGGAGCTCTGTGAAAGCTCCCTAAACTGAACGGAAAACAAGCCCCTCCCCCCATGCCCATCCTCTCACACACTTTATCACAATTGGGATCATTATTATCATCCCCATTTTACAGGCGAGCTTTGAGCTCAGGGGATTTGTCCAAGGTTACGTATCAAGTTTACAGGCTTGAGCCTGTGGGAAAAAAATGCTGCAGGATCCTCACTTCACTGTTAAGTCAAATCATCTTTAGTCCATTCTCCATTTACTTTTCCTAGTAAAACTGAGTTCCATAGGCCACAGAACAGAATCCCAGAGATTAGTCTTAAAAAAAGTAAGTCTTCATAATTAACCAAAGGAGCCTCAGAAAGATATGGCAATATTCCCTCTCTCCTGCGGACGATGTGGAGGGAGAGACACTGTTTTGCATTTTAAAATTAAGCCAAGGGGAACTCCCTGGCGGTACAGTGGTTAGGACTCCGCCAAAACAAAGCCAAATAATCTAGTTGGACAAGGTATTAAATTAAGATCTTTCTCAAGAACTGATATTGGAGATTTGTATGAATGTTTGTAACTGGTAACTCATTTTTTCTGTCTTCTGTTAGAATAAATCTGCCCTTGTATTATTTAAACAGGAGGGTTTTGTAAGTCTTCTAAGACTTTGGAAATTGTTGCCATACCTCATAAAAACTACCTCTTAAAAAACTGTCACACTGATTGGCTCCTGCTATATGGGTTGAACTGTGTCACCCCAAAGATGCTGAAGTCCTAACCCCCATCTCCTGCCCTGTACCTGTGAATATGACCTTATTTGGAAATGGGGTCTCTGCAGATGATCAAGTTAAAGTGAGGTCATTAAGGGTGGTCCCTAACCCACTATTCTAAGGGGAAATTTGGACACAGAGACAGACACGCACAGAGGGAAGATGATGTGAAGACATAGGGAGAATGTCACCTACAAGCCAAGGAACACCTGAGGCCACCAGAAGCTAAAAGAGGGGCCTGGAACAGATTCTTCCTCACAGCAATCAGAAGGAACCAACGCTGCTGACCTCTTGGTCTCACACTTATGACCTCCAGAACTGCGACACAATGAATTTTTGTGCCACTCAGTTGGTTACAGCAGCCCCAGGAAATGAAAACTGCTGTCCTGAATACAGTATAACCATTACTGTAGTTCCTTATCAGTCTATCTGTTAAAACAAGACAGTAACACTAAACATTTTTCTCCTCTCCTCCATGCATGGCAGAAAAAATAAAAACCCTCAAATAACTTGAATCTGTTTCATATAAATGGACAGCCCTGATCTGATTACAAGTCCAGTGCACTTCCATCCCACCACAGCTGCACCAGGGCACAGCTACCTGTTTGTTTTTCTTCTGCAGTTAACCTCTGCTCTTTCCTTTTGGCCGCTCTTCTCATTAATTTATAAGTGCTCTTTTAAAAATTAGGTTCTGTGCACAAAAAATGTCGCCTGCAGTATCAGTAAACAAAGGATGTTGTGACCATCAAGTCATGAGTCCCTGCAGCCGCCCACGACTGTGCACGCTGAGGAGAGTCAGGATGGAGAAAAACAGGATACTGGTCCCTAGTTAAGATGCATATCAAAGGGATAATTTCAATAAGCCCAGACTCTTGCATCTTCCCATACATAGAAAAGTGCTAAACTCATTAACTTGAGATGTCTGTGTTTTTAAAAAAAATTAGCAGTAATCTTTTGATGTTCGATTACCTGTTTTGGGTTTTTTTTTGGTGCCCAAACTGCTATATATCCTGGCTCTTCCCTTACCTCTTTGGACCAGTCCCTCAGAGCTATCTGAGAACCTGTATCCCGGGCTTAAGTCCTCAGTAAGTCTGCTGAATAAACCATAATTCTCAACTTTTAGGTTATGCATTTTTTTCAGTTGACAGTCCCTTATGTCTGTTTTAGATGTTGCAAATATTTTCTTCCAGCCTGTCATTTACCTTTTTCTCACTTTTTTTAAAGTATTATTTTTCATAGATACTTAAAATTTTTATGTAGCCAAGTATAGTAACCTTTTCTTTTATGGCTTTCTCCAAGATCCCCCAAATCTCCTTTTCCCCCAATATCTTTTAGTTTTGTTTTTTATATTTAGGGATCAGACTTCATTTTTTTCCAGTTGGATAGCTATATGATCCAGCACCGTTATTTTTTTTTTAATTGAGGTATAATTGACCAGCACCATTAACTGAATAATACAGCCCCTCCCAGTTGTGAAATGCCCCTTTTATCATAAATTCCTAGAGGCATGGGTCTGTTTCTGGCCTTTATTCACATTCTGACTTCATTTGCCTTTCCTTAGCAACAGGCCACAGAAATGCATATGCAAAAATGCTGCAATGGCCCAGATGGTGGCCAAGTGTAGAACGCAGGCTTGCTTCCTGGGGGTTACCACTTGGTCCTCTGCTGCCGTGCAGAGATGTGGGGGGCCAGATCTTCCAAGTTTTCAAGAGGTGCTGGACATCCAGATTTTTATATGAAATCTTCTGTTTTGAAAGTGGTGGCAATTAATTTTTTACATTTAAAAAACATTAGGTGGGGCTCCCCTGGTGGCGCAGTGGTTGAGAGTCTGCCTGCCGATGCAGGGGACGTGGGATCGTGCCCCGGTCCGGGAAGATCCCACATGCCGCAGAGCGGCTGCGTCCGTGAGCCATGGCCGCTGAGCCTGTGCGTCCGGAGCCTGTGCTCCGCAACGGGAGAGGCCACAACAGTGAGAGGCCCGCGTACCGCAAAAACAAACAAACAAAAAAACACATTAGGTGGACGAAATATATTTGCAAATTGAAAGCAGTCAGTTCTGTTCCAGATGCTGAAATGTGTTAATGAAGAGTAAGGCTGGACCGGCTCTAGGTGTCCACTCCTGCTCTCTCCACTGCGACCCTAAGGACCAAAGGAGGAAGACAGATGCAGCAGCTCCGGAAGCCTAGGTTATTTGTGGCCACCCCCGGGAATGGCAGTAGTGTTGTGCCTCATTTCACCTCCCACCCACACGAGTTGATGATGTGGTTCCTGGTTTGCTCCACAACCAGGAAGTCAGCATGCGGGGAGGGCTGACAACATCAGTCGAGTTGGGCCTCCACGGCCCTGCTAGCCTGAGCGATACAGAAAGGATGGAACGTGAGGTGCTGGCCAAGGATAGAGCAAGATTCTGGTACCCCCGAAACAAGTTGGAAAGTGATATCATCTCCTTTCTAATAATAATGCAGCCTTCCTGGATATCCAGCTTAACACTGTTTAATCAGCAAAGGAATGGCAACGGACAGAGATCTCCAAAGCTCACAAGGAGGATAAGATCTGCTGATAGCAAGGACAACTCACATCTAGAACTTCACATGCCTTATCTCACCGTCTTTCACAAAGACCCCATGAGGTAGGCGGCATCAGGACTGTTCTTGCTTCTTTCAGAAGAGGAAACCAGCGGCCAGGGGCAATCAGAATGGTTTTGAGATGCAGGAAGAATGAACGGGAGAATAAGGGACTGCAGCCCCCTTCTCCTTCCCAGTGTCCATCTCTGAAGAATCATTTGTTCACTCAGCAAATCCTTTCTGAACACCTCTGATGGGCTATGTACTCTTCCAGGCCTTGAGAATACAGCAGTGCACAGATCCTGGGCATTACTCTCCCCTTTACTCTGAACTATGACCCAGACTGGCCTTTGCTCTATTCTTCTCTGGTTGGAGCAGTGACCTCAGGCCAACTTTTGTATTTTGCTCCGGAGTGCTTAGTTGTTTCCCTGCTACTAGTCACTTCCTGGAATGCACTGACCCTTTCCAAGAATACATGTTGTGCCGTGCCTGAGGTATAGAAAACTGGCAGACTCAGACCCAAATCCCAGCCATGCCTTAATTTTGACCTATTTTTAAAATATGTTTCAGACACATCACACAATAATCCCTGTGGGTGCCATTCTGAGAGCGGGCATGGTACATCAGGTTTCTCTTGAAGCAGGCAATCTCTGGGGCATGTTAGGTCAACCTCTTTCCTTCTCGTTATTTGTCCTTCACCTACATCTTTTTCTCTGACGCCCCATCTTCTGGGTTATGTGTCTAGAAGCAGGAACAGGCACTAGATATATGTAAGGCAGTCCCACCAGCTCTAAAAGCTTCAGACCCTATCAGTTCATGTTCTGCAGGCTAACATACTCTTCCACTGACTGTAGTTGGTAGAACTGCAGCCCCCCAAAAAGATACGTCCAAGTCCAAACCCCTGGCACCTGTGAATGTGACCTTACTTGGAAAAAGGGTCTTCACAGATGAAATTAAGGATCTTGAGGGACTTCCCTGGTGGCAGAGTGGTTAAGAATCCGCCTGCCAATGCAGGGGACACAGGTTCAAGCCCTGGTCTGGGAAGATCCCACATGCCATGGAGCAACTAAGCCTGTGCGTCACAACTACTGAGCCTGTGCTCTAGAGCCCGCGAGCCACAACTACTGAGCCCGTGTGCCACAACTACTGAAGCCCACAGACCTAGAGACCATGCTCTGCAACAACAGAAGCCACAGCAAGGAGAAGCCTGCCCACTGCAACAAAGAGTAGACCCCGCTCGCTGCAACTAGAGAAAGCCCACTCGCAGCAACGAAGATCCAATGCAGCCAAAAGTAAATAAAAAGGATCTTGAGATGAGATCATCCTCAATTAGGATGGGCCTTAAGTCCAATGACATAGATTTGGTGTCCAACAGTGTCCTTGTAAGAGACAGAAAAGGAGCACACAGAGGGGAGAAGACCCACGTGCAGACGAGGCAGAGACTGGATTTGTGCTACTCTAGGCCAAGGGATGCAAGGACTGCCGGCAGCCACCAAAGGAGAAAGGCATGGGATGGATTCTCCCTCAGAGCCTCCAGAGGGACGAACCTGCCAACACCTTGATTTCAGACCTCTAGCCTCCAGAACTATGGGAGAAGGAAGTGCTGTTGTTTTATGCCTCCACATTTGTGGTAATTTTTTATGGCAGCCCGAGATCAGAGACCCAAGTTGCTTTCCCTCTGTGAGCCAGGACTACCATGGACAGCTTTCCTGAGAGTGTGGCCTTCATTCCTTTCATCTGGGGCCTTGGCAACAGTTCTCAGGTGGCTACACGGTGCCCAGAGGCAGGTGTCTGTTCACCAGCAGAAGAGACCTGGGGCCCCTTGGGAGGTGCTGGGCTCTGCAGCTTTGGGAGGAGTGGAATTGACGTCCTCGTCCATGTCAGATGGGTCTGCTCCAACCTCAGCTCTTTCTTCCTGCCTGATCCAAAGGCTGCTTTCTAGCTGTTCTTCAGCAATTTCTAGTTCTTCTTCTGTTTGTAAAACAGACACAGTTTCCCGGGGTAAGTGTGAGGAATAGAGTCCAAATTTGGCTTTACAACCAAACATCGCCTCATATGGACTTTGCTGCAAGGAAACATCAAAGGCCTGATTCCTCACCAGCTGCATGAATCGCAGACCTTCAGCCCAGTGATGTGAATGGTGACTCTGCATCCAGGCACTTAGCATGTTCTTGACATCACGGCTTGCTCGCTCCAGGGAGCCCTGGCCTTGGCCAGGGTGGTACCTACCAGGGACAATCTTTAGGTCTGGCCATACCTCATTGAGCTCATTGACAACCTGGTTTGTGAACTCCAAGCCACTGTCAGATTCTAACATCGTGGGTGTACCAAGAATTGTGAAAATATCCAACAGGACAGAGACCACCTCATGGGCCTCTTTGGCTTTTAATGGCCGTAAAATAATAAACTTGGTCAAGTGGTCCTGGTAATACAAAATAAACTTGAACTCACCATCAGCACTTGACTGCATGTCAAGGATTTCAACTTGGCATCTGGAGTTAATGTCCTTAAATGGCGTGGGCTTGGGTGCGAGGCCTCTCTTGGATACTGGGTTCTTCTGGTGGCACTGTTTACACAGAGTCAGATATAAGACAATGACTTCTTTGGTGACGTTCCCATATTTTCCTTGAAGCTCCTTGAGCATGCGTGTCCGCCCGCCATGGCCAATACTGAGATGTGTGTCATGAAGAATGTCAAACAGCTCTTCCTTGTGTACATAATACCGTATTCGATCTCGTTCTCCATGAGTAGCCTCTATTAGTTTCTCTGTGCCTTGTACAGAGATCACGTCATATTTTGCTGCACGGCGATAATCACGTGATGACTTCCTCCCCTTCTCCTTAGCTTCTTTCACTTCCTTTATTGTTTGAAAGTACTTTTCTTTGGAAAATACCTTGCTGTTGTAACTTTTGCTTTCCACTAACTTTGTCACGCTGATGAGAAACTTTTCTCTCATGTTACTTATCTCCTTTTCCATTTCACTTGGATTTGAAACCCCAGGGGGATCATTTCCAGCTCTCTGTGGCATCATGGAGAACTAACTGGAAGAAGGATCCTAAGAAAGGTAGAAAGAAACAGAACAAGGTTAAATTTGCTGATATTCCATCTGGAAGACTTTCCCTCTAAAGTTCCTCATTAACTCTTTCATCTGATTTTTGAACATATGGAAGAAAGATTACTAAAGTAATGGTATAAAGCAATAACAGAATAAAGATAACTAGAGGGACTTCTGTGGTGGCACAGTGGTTAAGACTCCGTGCTCCCAATGCAGGGGCCCCGGGTTCAATCCCTGGTCAGGGAACTAGATCCCACATGCATGCTGCAACTAAGAGCTCGCATGCCACAACTAAGGAGCCCACCCGCCGCAACTAAGATCAGGCACAACCAAATAAATAAACAAAGAATAAAGATGACTAGAGGGCCCACTGGGCCCATTCATAACCAGAGCATGTCAACAGAATTTTAAATCAGCAAGATATATATACAGATATGTAGTAATTTTTGACTTTAGGCAAACAGAGTAACTAATAAAACTGTTAGTTCAAACAGTGAAACCTATTAATTCGTCTTTGCTAACTGAAGAGGAGAGGATAAATGGAAATGCCTAAGGCAATAATAGGCTGATATCTCGTCCTCCATTCCTTTTAAAATAATATAAATGGGAGAACGTTGCTAGAAGGAACCCACATAACAATAGTAAGTTGTGAACTTGAAGTTAGCACCAGAGACGGCTTTTCAGCTTTCCCACAATCAACTTAATTTCTTGTGGCTGAAGAGTCTGTCCTCATTTTAGGAGACTCAAGGAGAACGCGGTGGGATTTTTGGGGGATTTTTTTGGCCGCACCACGTGGCTTGCGGCGGGGTTGCAGGGGGAGGGCAGGGAGGAACCTTAGTTCCCCGACCAGGGATCGAACCCGGAGATCCCCTGCAGTGGAAGCGTGGAGTCCTAACTACAGGACGGCCAGGGAATTCCAGGGATATTTTTAAATGATGGTTTTCCCCATCGATTGTACACAGGATTAGTAAATGAAGACAAGTCCTTACGCTGAGGGACTGGCTTCTTGCAACTGTCCAGCATTGTGCCCTGCTGCAATCCTTCTGAGAGGTCTCTTGACACTTCCAATCTCTGGTCACAACCTCAAATGTCACTGCCTCCCGAAATGACACCAGCTGCTGCCACAGGGACGGTTCTGTCTCGGGTCCTGGGCTAAGGAGTAGCTGCAGCAGGACTAGGAAAGAGACAGTAGAGGTATTGGGAACAAAGGCGTGCCCACATGCATGACTGAATGTCAGTCATGTGAGTACTACACAAAGAAAAGATAACGGGGGGAGAAGAAAGGTCTCATATCCAGCAAGATGAGTCCAACTACGTGGGTGAGGAAGAGGGGTTTTGTCCTCCTGGGAGGTCTGTAGGCCTGACCTGTTTTGACACTGCCAGAGCTGGAGCCCACATATTTCCAGAACGAAGCAGAGAGTCCAAGAGAACTTGAGCACTCCAAGGCCGGGAGACACTTTCAGGTACAGGCTTGGTGGTTCTGACGAGGCAGCAGGGCCTGTTTCAAGAAATGAAAAGATTACATCTAAGGACATAGAGATATGTCAGGAGATTATCATGCCAAAGAGATACCCCAAATGGAGTCCACACTCCACCAAGATTGGAGAATTCCTCCGGAAGAGAACTTGATACTCAGGTCTAAACCGATGTTCCTTAGTTAGAACAACTCTGGAACACAGGATGGTGATGAGGCCAGGGGAAGAGTTCATGTGATGATCATAGGAATTCCAATAATCTTAGGAAAACAAGATCCCTGAGATGCCAGCCATCAGATGAAGAGCTGAGGGGTAGGGCAGAATTCTGAGAAGCAGAGAAAGATGGAAACATTTAAAATATATATATATATTTTAGTATTTATTTGTTTGGCCATGCTGGGTCTTAGTTGTGGCACATGGGATCTTGGTGTGGCATGCATATGGGATTTAGTTCCCTGACCAGGGATGGTACCCGGGCCCCCCCGCACTGGGAGTGTGGAGTCTTAACCACTGGACCACCAGGGAAGTCCCGATGGAAACAATTAAAAGCTCTGAGCAAGAGTCTCAGTTAAGCTGAGCCTGCTTCCAGATCCTGAATGTCCTCCACTAAAAAGGCTTTGAATTCCCTCGACTGGCATCACTGGTTAACCATGGAACATTCCTGATTCTAAAGACACTACTGACTGTAAAACCACTGACATAATGACAATTTTCTTTTGACAGGAAAAACTGAGGCCCTATATTAAATGAACATATCCAGATGGGGTTTTTTTTGTCACGCTGCACGGCATGCGGAATCTTAGTTCCCCAACCAGGGACTGAACCCGTGCCCCTTGCAGTGGAAGTACAGAGTCTTAACCACTGAGCTGCCAGGGAATTGCCCACACATCCAGATTTTTTAAAGGTGAAAAATATGCATTTCAGGATCGAAGAAACAGAATGTTTTTAATATGCTCTTTAAGCCTGAGCTCAAGACCCTCAGTGCAAACTGACATTTTTAAAGGCTCTGAGAAGTCCTGCAGTAAGTAAACCAGTCTGTTTCATCCACCAGTCCCATATAATCATTGACATGGGGCTTTGTTTCCCAAAGAATATGTATTACCATCCCACAGTCCTTAGAAGAGACTTGAAACCACAAGATATTCAACGGGATCCAGGAGCACCTTCCAGACTCCTCACTGAAACCAGCATCTCTCAGAAACTGGCTGCACTGGCTGCTATCTGAGGCCCTTCAAGGAACTACATGGGAAGGAAAGGCCTCATCTCCATCCCATAAAAGAATGAAGAAGACACGCTAGAAATAGTTTATAATCAAAAGATGGAAAAATCTCAGTCTTTAATATGAGAAATGGTCCTTACCCTATACCATGAAATTCTAAAGCACAGCCCTAGAGTCACATTTGGCTAATAGACATATGTTGGTTAGTCTACCCAGTTGTTTGTTTTTTAAAAATTGAATGGTTTACCTATATTTACAGACTGGGGAGTTCATATAAAAATCTAGGTTTCTGGCTTTCATGAAAAATGGGACGATCCAGTCATACTGGGAGCTTTGCTACTTGGCAACAACTGGCTGGAGTAGAGAGGCAGCCACTCCCTTTAGATAGTCTACACTCTGTTTCCCACAGTCTTTAAGCCAGCTACTAACTATTCACCTTAGCTGCCCACCCCTGTAGTTACCTGAGTTTTCAACACCTGTTCTAAAGCAAAAGGAAAGAAACGAGGCCCCAAAGAAAGATGGCCAACTTCCTGGTGTGATCTGTGCTGGTGGGCTGATAAATGAGCTTGTTTAGAGAAAACTGGAAAGATCTTCCTTCCCCACCCACCTGCGAGTCTTTGCTTTGGCTCTCCCGGACCTGGAACAGGTTCTTCCAAATCACACCCAGCTCAAATCAGCATCCTTCCTGACGCACTCCAGCTGACTGCCATCTCTCCCGCCTCTGAACAGCCTGCACCACTCACTGGAGCGCTTTGCATTTTCAGTCGACTGGTTCAGGTGTACAAACCTAGAAGGCAGGCGCTGAGGCTTCTACCTCGCTGTATCCCCTCAGAGGGCAGATGAATACAGAGCTGAGACGAAAGATGTTCAAAGGGCATTTGTCAAACACTTGGCTTACAAGTATAGAAGAGAGGCATTGCAGAGGCATGGTAAGTCAATTTCTGACGCTATTATTTACTGTGTGAGTAGGCTGGGCAAAGTTACTGAGGCTTCATTTTCCGCAACTATAAAATGGGGAGAATACCACTCTCCATCACAACGAGTTGTTGGGAAGACTCGGTGATAATGCAGATAATGACCCGGTTCGGGCATCAAGTCCTTTGTGCCGTCCTGGGTTCCGCGGTCTCTGCACCACCGCGCCAGGCTCCACGCGGGTTCCGCCTGCTAGTCGGGCCCGCCCACTCCTCCAAGGGCGGACAACTCCGGGGGAGGAGTGAAATGAATGAGCCAGGCCAGCGGGAAGAGAGGCCGATCCGGGTGGTTTTGCAGGAGAGGGAGGTCCGGAAGGGAAAAGGAATGCTCCAGGGCCGCTGTGCCTGGAGCCCGCCCCACCCACGGCTGCGTCCGCCAGCGCCGCCCGGTCCTTTCCCGCCCGCGTGGGCCCGCGGCGACTGAGGCCGGCCGTGCCGGCCGGAAGCGGCTCCGCGCCGGCCGGAAGCCCCGCCCCCCCGAGGGCCAGTCCGCAGACGCCGCGGCGGGAAGAAACCTTATTCCTTCTCTGGGTTACGAAGGCTGTGTTCCGGGGTCCTGCCCAGCCTGCAGCGTGCTCGGCGGAAGCTGCGGTGAGTGAGATCACTGAGGTGATAGCTGGGGCCGGGCCCAGGTGCGACCCTTGGCTAAGCCAGCCACTAACTCAGGTCTCCGGCGGCGGCAAAATTGGTCACCTATTTTCACACGTTGTCGTAAAGGCTCCAAGGTAAGTAAATGCTCGCCTCCAGCCTGGAAAGTAAACCCCATTCATCGTCCTACACGTTTAAATGCTTAAGTCTAGAGTGAGGAAGGTGTTGCCAACAATTACTCTGTGCACGGTATCGCTTAATCCTCTAGGAGAAACTGCATTTTAGGTGAGCACTTTTTGCTTCAGATTGTAAGCTAAAGATTCGTTTTGGTCTAACAGCACTCACACAACCTCAGTGCAGAAAACAAGGTTGTAAAGGGGGTCCTTGGGTATTCAGCTTTACCCCAAAGTGCTGCTGCCTCTGTAAAAGAAAATCACTATTTTATCAGTCCCGATCTCGGAATATTGTTAGAAAGCATTTCAATCATTAAAGAACTGATGCTTGGGACTTCCCTGGTCGCGCAGTGGTTAAGAATCCGCCTGCCAATGCAGGGGACACGGGTTCGAGCTCTGGTCCTGGCAGATCCCACATGCTGCAGAGCAGCTAAGCCCGTGCGCCACAACTACTGAGCCTGTGGTCTAGAGCCCGCGCTCCCCAGCGAGAAGCCACCGCAATGAGAAGCCCAAGCGTAGCAACGAAGACCCAACGCAGCTAAAAATAAATAAAATTTTTTAAAAAGAACTGATGCTCAAAGTTGGTTAAAAAACCAACTCTCTCTAAACAGTACTTTTCATTACTGGAATCAAGCCACAAGATAAGGGTAGTCCGCCCCTAGATAGCTAACATCACCTGAACTTCCCTGAAAACTGACCCACCGAAATCTAGTCAGCGTCTCAAAGCACCACACATAAACAAAGACTCTTAATTTTAACAGTTTTTAATGAAAGTTGTAAACAAGATCACTTCATTCCTGCATCTTCTCAATTGTTTCTTCCTTATATTTGCCCTTTTCCTTCCCTACTTGGCGAGACTTGGCTTTACGTTCGAGGATCTTTTTGCGGTCTTTGTCCAGTTTTAGTCTGGTGATGACCACCTGCAGACAAATAAGAAAAAATGCTCCTGAGCTTTAAACAATTACCAACACAGAACACATGGGAAACCCAACATTCAGTGCCGTTCCCCACACCTGTGGGAGTGGATGCCTAAACACTGAAGCGCCAGAAATGATTCTTTACCCCCAAACCTGGCTTAAATTTAAACGTTCACTAATGCTCAGCCAACAAAGGAGAAGGCAACGTGGCACTGGTGGTTCTTCTCACGTCCTCTTCTGTGCTTTATTTGAAAATCAGCTTTTTCTACTGCAAAACGTTTCAACTATTCCACTCCTCTCAGTTTTATAAGCTAACAAAGTCATACACGTTTTTGTTTCTATAGTAACGTTAGTACCACAAGGTTGGAAATTAAATGTAGCCTTCACACATGCTTCAACCTGCAAAACCTTTAGTGAAGTCATAGAACAGACCTTATTCCAACAGACTTGTCACTAAAGACACCCAGATTATGATAAATTTTAGTCTTAGAGAGGAAGGTGAGGGAAGGCAAAGACAGCACTGAACAAGGTCTGGAAATATAGCATAGCGACCAAAAGACAATCTCCACCGCCATGGAGGTTATATCTAATATGAGATGGAATGCTGGAGGACAGGGGCTAAATCATGATCGAGATTAGGCAAAGCCTCACGGAAAGGTCTATATTTGAACAGAGACCTGATAAGAAGGGTAGAGTATTCCAAACAGAACAGCAAGCACAGAAGTCCAGAGGCAGAAGAACTTCTAAGTTTAACAGGTGTGTTTCTCAAATTTGAGTGTGTCTGGAGGGCTTATAAAAATAGACCCCTGGGTCCCACCCCCAAATTCTGCTCCAGTAGACCTGGAAACAGAATGTACAATTCTATGAAGTTGCCAGGTGATCCTGCCAACCAGCAGACACACTGAGTAGCATGGCTGTAGGAACAGTAAAGAGGCCAGTGGACTAGAACACGGAGAGTGGAATAAGGTGACATCAAGAAGTAGCTGGTGATGGGACCTCCCTGGTGGCGCAGTGGTTAAGAATCCGTCTGCCAATGTAGGGGACACAGGTTCGAGCCCTGGTCGGGGAAGATCCCACGTGCCGCAGAGCAATTAAGCCCGTGCGCCACAACTACTGAGCCTGTGCTCTAGAGCCCACGAGCCACAACTACTGAAGCCCGCGTGCCGAGAGCCCGTGCTGTGCAGCAAGAGAAGCCACCGCGATGAGAAGCCGGTGCACCACAACGAAGAGTAGCCCCCACTCACCGCAACTAGAGAAAGCCTGTGCGCGCTGCAAGGAAGACCCGATACACCCAAAAATAAATAAATAAATAAAAAGAAGTAGTAGCTGGTGATCAGTCTTGTAGGCCACTCAGATGGTAACAATATTCTGGATACAATGTGACAGCAGTCAACAGGTCTTATCGACTCATGTGGGGTATATAATAATGACATTTTGGCCTGAGCCATTAGGACAAAGCTGCCACACACAGTGACGGTAACAAACTGCAAGAGGGTTCAAGGATAAAACCAGGAGTTTAAACATGTCAGGTATGAGATACTGATTGGGTATCCAAGTTGACATGCAAACTAGTCAACTGGATATTGAGGTTTGTCTGGAATAAGAGATGAAGATGAGCCACAAAGAGGGAGATCAACTGTCAAATGCTGCATTAAGTTCATAAAACACTAAGAACTGGTCACTGGATTGGTGACCTTGACAACAGCTCATCTAGTTGGGGGCAAAAATAAGACTGTAGTAAAGAATGGGAAAGTCTTCGCTCTTAAGAGATACACACTGACGTAATTAGAGGTGAAGTGCCAGGATGTTTGTAATCCACTAGTGGGCAGGGTAAAGGGCAAAGAAAATGGAGGTTGTGAATTCTAGGTGAAAGATATGCAACAGCTGTACTAGTCTTGCGACTTTCCTGTAGTTTGAAGATTAGATTTGTGGTGCCAACTCAAGATCTTAAAGAAACGAACACCTCATTATCTGAATAGGCACCAAGCACATTTATTACCTTTATATTAAACATATTTTTTTAATTGAGAGAAATTAGACAGCAGTATTGGAGAATTCACATTAAAGTCCAGGACACGAGAATCAGACCATCATCTTCTATTTTGGCTTAGATACCACTATCAATGGGATCTAGACCCTGAGGTCCAGATTTTTTCCATCTGCAAATGACTTAATACCTACTTTGCAGGGCTGTAAATGTGCCTTACTGTTTACTCAATTCTGTTTAATACACAGGGTATCAGCTCCATATTATCTAAAAACTACCCAATTTCCTATATTTTAAGATCTATTCATTTTTAGATTGATCGATCAGCTTACTAATAGCTTTTAAGGAAAAGGTACATTAAATACACATACAAAATAACTGTTAAAATTTCCTTCTCCCCTCTCAAGCATTCTTAAAAACACCCACCTTGCTGGGGTGAATGCCCACGTGGACAGTTGTGCCATTAGCCTTCTCCCGCTGCACTCGTTCAATGTAGATGACATACTTCTTCCTGTAAACCTGGACTACTTTGCCAATTTGCTGCCCTTTGTAGTGCCCTCGTACAACCTAAATGCAAATTCAAAAATAAAAGATATATGTGGTTAAAAGAATATTAAACTTGAAAATCAGGAAACCTATGAATCAGGTAAACATCATTCACGTTATCAGATATACAGGATCTTCCAATTTTGAAAGACCTAATCATTAATGGAAATGTGCCAATAATTCTATCTCTGGCTTCAATTAACCTGGAAATAAACTATGCTCCATATAAATCTACAGTGATGGACAGTGCATCCTACAACTGATGACCCACCAGCAGTGGTGGGCTTGTTAAAAGATTAAAAACGAGGAACAAGCCCACCTTGGTTTTTTGTACCGAGTTGACAAGGAAACTGTCACTCCATCTCAAAGGGAACAACAGGCCATAAATATTAAATTCACAACCCATTAAAGGGCCCAACTAAGTGCCAAAGAGTGGGCAGCAGCTAATATTTAAGGAAACATGCCACTTCTTTCCCTGAGGTTAACTAACATCGTTCTGTACCCGCAAGTCCCAACGACCCTCAGCTTGCCAAAGTGCTTCTGAACAGATGTTTCTTCCCAGTTGGAGAAAGCAGAGACTGCCTCCAAAACCTACTGGCACTTTTAGCACGAGCACAGGAGCGACAAATGGCTATTCATCTCATGAAATGCTGGTAACGTGTAAGCTGCTTTAGAGACTACTTGAATCTTAATCACTAGCTGCAAGTTACAGCTAAGAAACATTAATAGACATTTTCACTTAAATAGACTTGACAACTTATTTACTGGTACTCTCAAACAATCATATGGAACTACAGCTCACTTGTAACTTATATATGGATTTTGATTCAGGCACAGAATTGTTTACTGGTCCTCAAATGCCTCTCCAATGCCCAAACACACCCAGAAAAAGATAACTCCAAACTAAGATTCTGGTTCCAAACCCCCTTTCTTCTGTTTAATTATGACTGCATCTGACGCCTGAGACAACTGATTTTCACCAAAGTGTAAAGGTGAAGGAAGCTACATGCTTTTTGTTTAGCCCCCAGCTCAACTCCTTTTGCAATGCTGTTCTGGGAGCCAATGTCTCAGATGTATCGCTCTCAGAATGCAATCCATCGTCTGTGCCTAACGTGTGGGATATTCGCCAAGATGACCTGAACACGGCACATACCTGAACTTCATCATCCTTCCGGATGGGCATGGATCGGACATTGTACTTCTGTCTCAGCTCTTTAGAAAGAGGGGAAGACATAATTTTCCTGCGAATGTGGGAAGGCGCATTGAAATGCCTTTTCCGGTTCTTGCTTCGGTCAGAAGTCACAAAGGGATTGAACTTCATTTCGGCTAAATAAAAAGTTAAAAGAGGTGTAAACCCTTAAATGACCAAATCTCAGTTTACAAACAAGTAACTGCAACAATTTCATCTGGAAAGTTCAGAATGCTCACAAAAGCCGTCACATTCTTTAACTTCATCAAAAACTGCTTGTAGTGAACTGCTTTACTGGGATGTTTTCTGTATTTGCTTATGGAACAGAAGAACGTTCCATTACCAACACACCTGTTGTAATTAAACTTTTTGTTTACACTCTCAAACTGCATAACCACTGCGTAAGAAAGCTAAAACAGGCCTTATATTTCCGCTGAATTAGGGCAAAGCAGACTGACAATTCAACATCACATCACGTTTTAGAAAGACCAACCAACGTTAATCTGCGAACTTGAGCGTGAACACATTTAGCCCCATCCCAAATGAATGAAATCAGGCCCTCATCCCGAACCTGGAAAATGCACATAACTCGGGTCCAAAAAGCCTTCCAATGGGCGAGCGCCGTCTGAAAGTTCAGTAGATTTACCAAGAAGTTATCCTGAGACCATTCTTTAGGAAACTACAGTGCCCAGACTAGACTCCATCACCATAGGCCCTCTCCCCTTCAGCTCCCGTTTCGAAGTCCCCAAATCCTCTTTCCTCCTCC